TAAAAATAAAAGTAATTAAAAACAATGTGTATCCAAATTAATAATATGATCTATATTTCACATCTAATCTAATTAGTACAACATTAAGAAGTATTAAATATAGATCTGTGTTAAATTCTACATGTTATACAAGAAAATGATAAACATAATATGAAAAAGAATAAACATGATACAAGAAATTACAAGGGTATATGAAAATTTTTACAAAAAGTTTTTAATTTTAATAATAAATATTTTTAAATGAAGATAATAATATATATTTAAGATATATTTTTTATTTTTTTATATATTTTAATTATAAAAAATAATTAATTTTATATTAGAACAACTTTATCAAATTAAATCTAAAAAATTTGAAAAAATATATATTAAAATATATAATATTAATTTTATTTTAATATAAAATAAAAAATATTGATTAATAAAATTAAAAACTTTTATATAAAAAGAAAAATTCGTATTTTACTATATTTAATTAATAAATTTTGTTAGTATTGCATTATTTTTAATTGTAACTATATAGTAAAAAATTTTTTTAAATAATTTAATTTTTGATTAAATATATTAAATATAAATTTATTTGCTATATTAAATAATTTAAGAGATAAAAAAATATTAATTTAAATTTTTTATTTATTTTAATTATAAAAAAATAATTATTTCTATTTGTATTTGACATATTTTCTAATTAAAATAAAAATATTAAATAATCAATTATTAATAAAATACTTATTTAATAATTTCAATAATAATATTTAATATAATTTAAATTACTTATATACAAGCTTTAAATTATATAATTAAAAATAAAATCTTTGTTACAAAAAATCAATATATATTTTATTTTAATTAGTAAATATTCAATTAAACAAGTAATTAACTATGTAAAATTAGTTTTTGTTTAATTAAAATCATTACATAAAACAAAAATTCTATTTTAAGAGTGAGAGACAAAATATTAAAAATAAAGTTTTTATTTATTATATTATTATTTTTCAAGTTCCAATATGTTAAATTAAGATTCAAATATTACTTTTATTTATGCATGTTTGAATTAATATAATTTTTATAATAATACTAATAATTAAATAATAATTAATCATGCAAAAGTTATAAATAAAATTTTAATTTTAATTTTAAATCATACTGTAAATAATATTGTAAACAAATGTTTCAAAGAAAAGATAAATATGTTTGTTTATAAACACAATGATAAAAATTAAGTGATATAGTTAAAATTCGGGTTTCTAAATATAAACTTTACTATATCAAGAGCTCTTGGTATAGTGAAACTTTCGATATAGTGAAGAAAAGTCCGGACCCGATGACTTCACTATATCAAGAGTGCCATGTATCTTCAATAAAAAAATCGTTATAAATAAACTTATAATTTATATTGCATAATTTTGGAATTTTTACGGTTCATTCAAATGGTAATATCTTGATATCTGATAATCCTTTTTGGAAAAAGTAACTAAGCTAGAAATTGCAGGGCTTTTTGATTATTATATGCATTGAACTTTTCTAGCAATTTTCATTAAAATTTTCTCGACTGTCTATATCTATATATGCAAGTAACAGTCGATGCATTATTACATTCTGTAATTACTGCAAAAATTTATTCGTCAATATTTTAAAATTTATAAATACAGTATTAAGAGAATAACAAACTGATCAATCGACTTTTAATTTCAACAATTAAACAAAATACTCCAGAATCAATGTCAGCAGCTTTATACAATAAATCTACCAATAACACCACATCCCAAAATACATTTTTTTCTGTCGATGCAAATCGGGATCAAATAGATTCTTCATAAAAGTATTTGCATAATCATCAGATGCTGCTTTTTTATACTTTGTTGCCCAATAAATGGCTTTGTGGTTATCTTGTAAAGTTCCAGCACCACAATTATGCGCATTAGCAAGCTTCCTCATAGCGCGAATATGTCCACTCTCAGCCGCTTTTTGTAGATAATAGTAAAAATTTAATAGGTTCTTTTTCACACCATATCCGTATTGATAATGATATCCTAAAGCAAAATGCGCAGATGGAATGCGTTGATTTGCTGCTTGCCTTTGCCAATAAACTGCCATTTCACTGCTTTGATTCGTGCCGATACCCGCAACATAATAACAGCCAAGAAGGTATTGTCCATGCGGATCGTTGCATTCTGCTGCTTTTCGGTATTCATCAAAAGATTTTGGTCGTCGGTTGCATAACACTTTATACATGTATATTGCCCCCAGAATTACGTGATTTTGTGGATTTTGGTGATTTGCCGTTAGATATTCAATCATTTCGGGTGCGTCAGAACGAGTTGTTTTAAGGAATTTGTTTATGGCTTCTCCCGTATTATTGTAGGTCCTTTTTTGCATTTCAATGTCTGAAAAAAATGCTTTTACTGCATTTTCATAATTTGGAAATTCGTGTATCGCATTTTTTTCTTTAATATTGTTAGTACTCATATTTTTACATGTAGCGGTAACAGCGATAACGATAAACACTCTGCTACATTGAATGAAGCAATTTGTAGTGCTACTGCTACACAATTTTTATATATTTATCGTTATTATACATGTACATGTACACAACCGAAATGATCGAATGCCCAACGCTAAATCGAAATACGTACGTTCTGAACATGTAAAATCAACAACATCCAGAAGCATCATTCTTTAACATGGACAACTGCGAAAACTTTCATAGAATTATACCGATACATGTACTCGGTGAATCGGTACAGCTACTTACTTATCGCTATAACGATAACGATAAGTCTTTAGGAGATCATTATCCTTATCGTTATGGCGTGAAAATAAAAATATATTGCTATTGCACATGACATGTTACGTATTGGTTATAGCACTTCACAGGATAAAACCATACGTATATTTCAGAGATGTAAACGGAGACAATATTAATATTAAATGATATAAAATGAAGTTAAAAAAATTGTTAAATATGAATTACGTAAATATGAAGTAAATATACGTCCAGAAATGAATTTCTATGAATCACTCAATAGTTACGTATACAGTATAATACATGTAAAAGTCAGAGTGCATCACTTATTGAATATTTGAATAAACAATTGAATTGACCTGAATATTTATCATCGTATCATCAGGAAAATGTTCTTTCAATTCCAGATAAAATGCTGTAAACTTGATTAGGAAATGCATAAAATTCAGCGTCAGCGTTAACGTTAATGTCTTTTTATCCAAATATAAACAACAAAAGTTGCTGCTGCTAAAGAACGATAATGTACTTGTAAAATGCATACATCGATATGTACAACATACATGTACATGTACCAGTACTGGTACTGCTTAATCGATATCAATATGCGTTATAAATATAGTATCGGTACGTAGCAAAACTTACTTTAGCGTTAGACAGCAAATGTTCATTTAATAAAAATATTTTAATAACGATAACGATAATTTAATATACGAGAATGGAAGTTAAGATATTTAAGACAAATTATGCTAATACGAAAGGTGAAGATAATAAACTACCAAATTATGAAAAAGCAGTAAAAGAATTTTTCTCGGACATCGAAAGAGTTACAATGTACAACAATAGGCAATTCGCCATAAAAAAATTTCTTGCAACAACTGAATTAAACGAAGACGAATTGTTGGAACACCTAACAAAACACCAACCATGCCCGCAAAATCAAGTAATTCTTGGCGCGTTATATCTCGAGAGGGGCAAAAGACACAATTGCGTTCAAGAATTAAAAAAAGCATCCGAATCAAATAATCCCCATGCGCAATATCTTCTTGGATATTGCTACGGTGAGGGAATCGGTACATCGCAAGACAAAGAAACTGCAGTCCATTTGTATCAACAGGCAGTAAATCAGCGAATTCCAGCTGCTTATTACTGTTTAGGGTTTCATTATGCCAATGGATCTGGTGTGAAAATAGATAAATTAAAAACGTTCAATCTTTTTCGTAAGGCGGTGGAACGTGGGCATCTTCGTGCTTTGTTTTCTCTTGCTTACACGCATCTTTATGGTATTGGTACTTCATGCGACATGCACAAGACCATTTATTGGTTGAAAAAGAGTAGTGAAAACGAAGCAAGAGATAATGTAGCTTATAATTACCTGACATCCATATTTGCTTAGGAATTTCGGTATCCACATACACTAGCCAGGAATATTTTACGGTTTTTGTATAAAGATATTCCCAATAATTTCAATCTAATTTTTAGTTATTTCACCTAGATTTATTGAATTATGAATTTATTTTTTTTCTTAAATTATTATGAAATGTTTAAATTGTGTCAGAAAATACTAAAACGATAAGGGAAACACAAAATAAAATTCTTATTCTCAAACTATGATAAAGCGATAAAAGAACCTTAAATAACATTAGAAATTTCTCTATAAAAAATTTTGAAAGTACTGTATTTGATACAGTCGTCGGATATGTTAACGTTAGAGAAAAAACGAATCATCAAGATCGTCCGAATTAAAATACGTAGTGATAGTGGATGAGACAAAGAAGCAGCCTACTCTGACAGACTATATTTGAATATATTTTTACTAATAGAACACCGCTTAACAATACATTGTCACATAAACTTTATACAATCGCGTGTACATAGGAAATTATTACTTATGCATGGTATTTAGTTCTATACATCTACAGTTAGGGCTCGACTGAGCAATGATTAATTAAAATTCACAACATATGATATCGTTAAATTGCTATTTCCTATGAATTGGAAATAAAATCGCGGTATATCGATATTCGAGCCTGACTGTATTTTAAAGTTAAAGAAAAAAGTATGTAAGAGTAAAAAAGTGAAACAAGTAATAAAGAATTATATCTACGTATCTAAATTTTCCGGTATCTCAGATCCAATATCGATAATAATTACATGAACAAATGACGTCGTCTCTAAAAATAAAAATAATATACAATATTTTAAAACGTGCATCGATAGTGTCTGAATGACTTGAATTGACCAAAATGACCTAAAAATTTATATACTATATTTTTGGATTCTTGAGATCTTTGTGATTTAAAAGAACCAAAAACACTCACGCACACACACACAAAAATCCATGCAGTAGTTCTTGAGAAATGTTGATTTTTATAAAATTATATTTTTTTGATCAAGCTGAAATGCATTTTTTAGTGGTAAAAAATTACTATTAATATAATAGAATAATTATAATTTTATTTAAATAGCTATTAATTGTATACAACAAATAGAGTTTTTTATATAACTTATGATTAGTAATTTGTTGATACTTTATTTCTATGGTACATACCATCTAAAGTCATCTGTAAATTTTATTAGTAAACTCGCTTTATGTAAACTACGTACCTGACTTTTATACAAAACGTGTTAAAACTCCTAACGTTAACGTTAACGTTAATACATTTTTTACTTCAAAGTCGATCTAACTATTTATACATGTATGTGCTAACGCTATGCACAACATGCATATGAGAGCCATTACGTACATGTTCGTATTATGTGTAATGTGTCATTTGTGTGCAGAACGATTTCCGAGATAAAACACATAAAAGCCTTTTACATGTATTAATAACGATAAAGAACTTCTATTTTATCCATATTGAACTTCAGATTCTTGACAGGCAACATTAAATTTCTAACATAATGAATTTCATTTACAATGTAATTAGTCGAGAATAAATAGCCTGCAGAGTATTGTTAACGTTAAGCTGATTTAACAAAAATTATGCATGTTGATTTCCTCTCTTGTCAGTACTTTTACTAATAGATTGATTAGCAGCACTCCATTCCAATGGGTTCTAAAAACGAATTCATATATATTAATCTTTGTTCAACTGAATTTTTGAATTTGCCACGCACCCGATCTTCATTCTCATGCTTTGTCTTTTCCATCTCTTGACGTGGATCGATAGTTTTCGGATCATACGAAGTGTCATTATGTGCTAATTCGTCTGTCGTTCCCGAAAAAGTTTGTTCGTTTTTTTCGGATGGTCGTAGTTTATTTTTGTAATTGCTGGAATTTTCTGGTGTTCCCTGATTATTCTTTATTCAGCGTCTTCAGTATTGAGAATTCTTTGACTTTATAATACAATAATTGTGACAAATTACCGTGATAATATAAGAAATTCGACGGCTCTGAATCGGCACATACAATGCTTTATAAAAAAGGATATTTCTGTTGATAATAGCCATAATAGCCTTTGAAAAATGCGAAAAAGCTTTTATAGCTAAAGTAGATGAACATAACGATAGTATCATCATTCTTACGTCAATTTATAAATCTACAAAGTTGGGCTCAAAAGAACATGTACTTAACGTTAACTAAAAACGACTACAAAAGATGGTGATCTATATATTACGAAAAATTGAATTGAGCACATTTATTGGTCGATAACAAACACGTAGATCGGTGATGTACGTATAAACGATAACGATAAAGCTGTTTTACATTTAAAATTCACCATTTTTTTGCAAATATAATATCATCAGTGTCCATATAACCTGAAGAATCGTTCTTTAACTATAAATAATGAAAGTGTCAATTATCAATAATAAGAATATGGTGCATCTCATCGATAGATTGTATTTTATGAATTCAACTAACTTCAAATATATCAATAATAATTTTATTCAGATCTAATAGTATTGAATTAATACAACGTTAAAATTTATTAATTAAACATAGTAAATGCGGGGTTTTCTCTTTATATAAAAGTTTTTTATTTTTACATTAAAATGAAGATAATATTACATATTTTAACATATATTTTTTTCAGATTTTTTAAATTTAATCTGATCAAGTTGTTCTAATTGCATATAAAATCAATTATTTTTTTTATATGTTTTAATTATAAAAAAATAATTGACTTTATATGCAATTAAAATAAAAAATCTGAAAAAAATATATGTTAAAATATGTAATATTATCTTTATCATTATTTTAATATAAAAATAAAAAATATTAATTAGCAAACTGAAAACTTTATAAAAAAACCTGTATTTTACTATAAATTAATAAAGTTTGATATTATTATATTATTTTTGATTGTTATTATATAATTTAAAATCATGCAATTTTTTTATATATTTATTTATTAAAATATTTTATAAATATAAAATATCAATTTTAAATGAACCAAATTTATAAAATAATAAACTTATTGAAAATGAGTTTGAAAGTAATATAAAAAAATATTAAGAAATAACTACAAGATCAATAAATAAAAATAAAATAATAATTCAGTTTTAATAATTTTATGTAAAATTTTTGAATTTGAGAAATTTTTCTCAAGAATTTAATAATAAAAATAAAATTACAAAATTTTATTTACTTAATTTGCAAAGCTTATTAAAAATTTTTAAATATGTTTATCAAATATTTGCATAAAAATATAATGATAAAATTAATGATAAATTATATTTAAAAACAAACAAATAATATTAATATTTTACAGATATAATTATAAATTTATTATTTATTATTTTTTTTGTAATTATAAATAAATTTATTTATATTTATTTAATAAATATTATTAAATATTTTGTTAATAAATTATAAAAAATAAAATATTATTATAATAATATGCATAATAAAATATTAAAAGTGTCTAAAAAACTAAAAAAAGTATTAATTATATAAAATATTTGAAATTTAATTATTATATAATTAAATTTTGATATAATTATTTAATAAAAAGTGAAAGTTATATTATTTTTTATTACTTTTTTAATAATATATTATTATATATTCAATAAATTATTATATAAGTATTAAAAAAATTACAATTACTAAAAATCATTAAAATTATAATAGATAATGCAATATTTATAATAGCTAAATTTAAATACTTAAAAAAAGCCAAAGCATATTGAATTTATATATTAATATTATTATATAATATGAATTATAATTAGTAATATTTACTATAATACAAGTATATATATTTATATTAATATTAATATTAAAAAATTTACTATATGCACAAGAAATAATTAATCAAAATTTAATAATATAATTTAACTATTCAAACTAATTTTAATTATAATTAAAATATTATTATTTGTATATATCTTATAATAAGTAATATAAAATTAACTATTATTAATTTTTTTTAATATTTGTAATCTTTTATTCAAGCTCAAGTTAATTTAGAAAAATATATAATAGCAATTTAATTAATTTTAAATTAAAAGAATATTGGAATTATATAGAAAATTCAACAACAATTGACATTTTATTAGATTCATATTCAAAAATTAAAACTTTAATAAAGACTAATTAATATAATAAAATTATACTATCATTGCAAAAATAATAATATTTTATAAAAATAAGTCAAAATATAATAATTCCTGCAAATTAATAATTATTATACAAAAAATAAATTTTTTAAATTACTTTTTATGGAGCAAACTGCCAAAGAAATATTTGCTAAAGATGAAATTACTTAATATATTAGAATATTTATTAAATCTGATTCTGATTTGTTAAATTGATAATGTTATTTTAAGAAAGATTTTCCAGTTAGATTTTCTAGTTCTTGCAAATATAACATTTTGTTCTTTAAATATACAAGATTCAAGTGTAGAGTTTTTCTAGAAAGTAATAGCTAATTGATATGTAAATTAAAATTAAAATCACAGAAAATGTCTATTTTTCTGAAATTTTAATGGTAACTGCAAATCGATCGGCTGAACACTTTTTTTATAATACTCTAAACCAGTTTCTTAATAAAGTTTTTGAGAAATTAAAGGTTTTTTTTACAAATAATTTGGTTAGATTGCCACTAAACAAAGCTCTATAATTCGAAACTACATTATTAAATCAGTTTTGTCCATTAAAAATTTTTTCCCAATTTATATCTAGTTAATTCCAAAAAATCAGCAAAAAATATTAATTATTTCTTAAAATATTTAAAAAAAATAAGAAAATTTATATTCTTTGGAAATTTTTAATAAATAATTTATTACATTAATTATTATGTATTAAAAAAATTATACTTTCCGGGGGGACTGTACTCTCAGAACAGGCATTTTCTATGGCAGTAAATACAATAATCAAAATTTAATGCAGCTTAAAACCAGGTACAGCACGTGCAGTAATGTGTTTAAAAAATTGGATTCAGCAAGTACGTAAATATAAAAAATCGATATTGAAGCTTCTATTTTTTTTAGAATCATAAATTATAAATTTTTATCTTTTTTATTTTTGAAATACGACTATGAAGCTTGTTTTTTTTTTTCGAATCATATATTTTATTTTTTGTCAGAATTATAAATTATTTTTGAAATACGAGTGTGAACTTATTTATTAATAAAAGTATTTTATATAGCTTTTATCCAATCCAATTCATTACATGTGACTTATAAATACTCCGGAGTAGCTAGAGCAGTATTGGAGCAAAACCCGTAACAATGAACCCAGAGCAGGTTCAATTTGATTGACCCCGCTGTGATATGAACTCAATTCACTCCATTAACAACCCTAGTTATAGCGTTACTATACGATGCATGAGTCTGATAAATTTAGATAATAAGAGTTGCGAAACTTTTTCAAACGAGATAATTAGTTATTAACAATTCTAAATCAAAAACTTGAGATTTAAATTGTAAATATTTTCTTGCAGTTACCAAGTTGCCACTTGAGTTGAACATTTTAGCACCTCCTTCAACCAATAAATGCTCCACTTCCGTACTTCTTAAAATAAATTCTTATACAGTGTCCTGTAACAACAGTATAATTACATAATGTCGCACCCAACTTCTGTAAATTTGAGAATTGTATCATTAAAAAGGTATTTTCTAAGTTAATAATGTTCTGATATATTTTTTTTCTCGCCACACACATTGTTTAAGGAGAGTAAATTTGCCACTTCAAATTGTGGGAAACATACCTTGGTGTGTCATTTTCTATTTCTTAACGAGTCACCAGAAGTACGTGTATACGACACTCATGTAAGTTTGCTCTTGCACGTATTAGGTGCTTAGACCGCTGTATTTTGACTGTTTAGTACTTTTTATTTTGCAATTGCGAATACATTAATTAGTCTGTACGTGTAATTGATATTTAAAATTTTATCAAATCGACGTTCTTAAATTTTTCAGTCTAGATGTACTACAATTTATTAGTTTAAATAATCGTTTAAGAGTATTTGGAACTTAGCAAGTTTAAAATAACTTAGCAGATAATGTTTGTCTTACCGCAGATTGTAGTATTATAAAAGTTCGAGTAATCATATATGCTACAATAATCGAAAGTTTATATTTCAATTAGAAAATCATAAATTTTATTTATTTATTTGAATTCATTTTCGTGTTTCATCAATAACAGAATGAATGAAGATTTAATTAAATAAGATTGAATTAAAGTAATAAACAATATTGTCATGTAAAAAATAGTATAGATAATATTAATTATCTATACTTTATGTGCAAATCCAACAGCTGGCTGTTTTATATCAAATGCAGTGTAAACATTCTTCAAGAATACATTTCCAAGTAACCACTGATCTTCAGACCACCCCTGAATTCCAGAAACACAAACATTTGGATCCACTTCAATTACTAAATCTATAAGTGAAATTTCATAGCTGATGCCACCAAAAATAATAGCAATGATTACAGAAGTATCGCAAGGAATAATGAAATAATCTTCATCTGGATCGTAATAAGAACCTGGAATTAAATTAATAATATGCGTAAAATCTTCAAGCGGAGCTAAAATTAGTAGAGAGCCTGTATCAATTATCGCCTCTCTTGTATTTATTCTTTGAAGTTTATTGTCAACACTAACACCGCCCAGATTAATTAGCCAATCTCCAGTGTCACCTGTAACTTTATTGTAATTAAGTTCACCCGTAAATTTTGAATTATCAACACCACCTAAAGTCAATTGGCTTCTGGTGGCTGTCTTATCCGTCGTGCGGCCCAAATAGAAACTAAAGATGGGTTCATTAACCGATTTCTGCTCAACCATGTTAGAGAAAGGAGTTTTGGCGTTTAGAGTATTTAATTTATCGAAGCCCATTCCCATGATACCATCGAATTTTTCAGTGACAAATACTGGAGAAAGCAACTCCGCCAATCCAAAAGTTTGAGTTGTTACTATCGTACCAGCAATTGAAATATCGTCAGTTCCGGCTACACCTGAAACTGAACCTGCTCCGTATTGTATGGAAAATGTTTTATCAAGCTTCTTGAAATTTTTGCTTTTAGCAGGATCAAATGATGTATGATTTCTACAGGAAGGACTTGAACAACCAATCAAAGGAACCCAAAGGTCTGCGGACCCAGTATCGAATACTACCTGGAATGTTTGTCCACCGATTTCAATTGGCCCATAATAGGCTATATCATTGGAATCATGAATTGGAAGATTTACTTCTTTTTTAGAGTATTTTGAAAGTGTACGGTTTTTTTGAAGTGCAATTTTTTGTTTCCATGTATAGTAATCTGGGGATTCATTAATTTGCAAGGGTATTGTATATACTGGGGATCTTGAAGTAGTAGGCGCAGCATTAATTGTAATAGAAGTTATAGTTAATAAAAAAAATATTATTATTGTGACTTTCATCATTATTTTTTACGGTGATTATTTTTCTTTTCGAAATTTCCTCAATATATACAGATTTTTATTATATGTATTATGAACTATAAAGATTGAAAAGCATCATCGAAAGAAACATGCATTCACGTTTCGGAATTTTAGTTCAATTTCATATGCAACGCGTGAAGTCATCCGCGAATTAAGATAAGTTTGAGCTCTAAATGGTAATCCGGGACGTACATGTACATCTACATGTATATAATTTATATGAAAATAATGTTTTAACATATGATGTCATAATAAATTGAAAAAAAATTATACACGGAGATTATTTACAATAACGAGTCTATGATAGGTCATTAATGAGAGCAAAAAAAGGCTGCCATTATTTGAGGGTTTAGTCATACTAATGCGAATGTCATAGTAACCGGTGTTATGTTAACGAGGGTGGACGGTAGTTCATTTTTAGGCTAAAACCATACTCGGAATCTATCTAAATCAAAGTTTGATTGTAATTATAAGTGGTTATAACAAAGACAAAACTCCTCTGTTAAATGTGAGATGTAACAAAGTTAAACAATAACATGACCAAGTCAAGAAATCAGATCCTTATATAAAAATGGATTGATGGATTGAGTGTTACTTGTGGGTTCTTCCTCATCTCCATATAATTGTCACTTGCTAACTTAATTGCTTGCTACAATCTATATACATCAGAAATATGTTGTTTTTCTTTGCCCTTTTGCTTCTTCTGTATTTGCAAGTGGATGCTGATTCGAATGAATTAACGAATTCGCCAGTTTTTGAGAATCTTATTCGCGTCGTATATCGTCCACGCCTTGATCCTCGCATCATTAGCAAGACTGTTACACATGGGCAATTTTATAAAGATAAAGAGAAATACAAAGGGCGAGAAAGAAAAGTAGAACCTGGCTCTAACTATACCGTCTATGATGACTTTATGACCAATCGTCCATGGTTATCTGATACATCTCGGTTACAAGTATTACGCACAAATGTTTCTTTTTCAGAACAATTAAAGATACCTCGACCGATCATTGACTTGTCAAACATTCATAATGAGAAGCTAAGGAACGTCATTATCGTTGGCGTGAGAGAAGGAAAGTCATTTGAAGATATGACAATGGCCTTACGTATGCAGGTTGATAATTGTTCAATCAAATGCAAAAGAGAATTTTCAGAGTGTAAAAAAAGCAATAAATTTTTCAATCATACAAGCTTCTGTCAGGCATCATGTTTAGATAAGGTGAAAAGAAAGTACATACTATAGGATTTCACAATAGCAAATATAAACCGGTACTTTCTTTATTCAGGTCACCGATACAGGCTTTAATCCACTTGCTCTCGAACAAAATCCACCGTCTGCGCATCCAAACTGGCTTCCTCTCCAATATATCGGCCCAAGACCAACAAATATCTCTACCATCGAGTTACTTCAACGAGAAGCCGACAAACTATCGTGGCACGTCGTCGATCGCGCAACAAAAACCGAATCCGCATTAAATATAACATTATTGGAACTTGTTAAAATCCTCGGTGACCAGCCTTTCGCTAGTAACCAAAGCAGCATTGCGTCCATTTCGTACAGAATAAACAACTCTGAAATTCATAAAAAGCGATCAAATATTCACAAACGTTATATCATTGGCTCAGATAATCGCGCACCCGTCTACAACTCCGAAGTATACCCTATCCGCACTGTGGGATATATAGCTAGTGAATGCACTGGAACATTGATCGCGCCTAATGTAGTGTTGACAGCAGGTCATTGTGTAAGTTGAGAAACATCAATATTTGTCTTTTGCTCAACTTTAATTATTGTTTATCCTAAACTAGCTACATGATGGCACAAATTGGTACAAAAATCTTTCTGTCTCACCTGTTCAAGACGGCCCAGTGCCTAATCCAATTTTCGGTCAGATCAACTGGGCGCAAGCATGGACAGTGAAAGGATGGTAAAACAAGGGAATTTATTATAACGGGCAATCACTAAACTATGTTTAGTTTCTGAAAACAAACTGTCGATTTAAAGGACCGAATATAAAGATAAGGAATACGATTATGGGTTGATTATTTTGGAGCGTGATGCTGATGATGACTGGTATGACAAAACATTCCGAAATATTTCTTGGCGAACTCTTAATACGATACATCGATCTTTTTGTAGGATGAGTTTTGGTTGGAACAACCAGATCAACGAAGGGTGGGGTTTTAATATTATCGAATATCCCGGAGATAAGGTAACGACTTATAGCCTTGTACTGTCTTAATTATAATCACATTACTCACTTTAAATGCAAAGGCTTTCACTACGATGTGGTGGGAATATTGTCCTGTTAACTATACAGGAGAACTAGAGCTCGAACATTTTTGCGATATTGGTATGTATTATCTAGTTTTTTAGTGCATAAGAATGGGCATTGAAAATCTCATCTACCTCTAGTCCCACGTGCGTCTGGCTCTGGTCTATATGTTTACCGCCCTCAAGACGAGGCACGTATAATATATTCCGTGCAATCACATCAAGCTTATTCGCCAAGTTTTCCAGGTATGGAATGAGTAACAGTGATTTTAATTTTCAAAGCTCACGCATCATACTTGGTAGATTTCTGGAATAGAGATTATTATAACACCGCAACACGTATAAATAAGTTTCGATTCTATCAAATATGGTATGATCTTGGGCAAAATAAAAGTATGTTTGTTTGTGTTTGTGGGTAATAATATATCTAACTCATCTCTTCTTAGCGCTTGGATGAAGTCTAATCTATGTTAAGAAACCAACAAATACTATACGCCAGTTAAATTTATCTAGCATCATTTCAAAGTATTAAATAAAACATAGTGCATATATATAATCACTCAAACTTCATGATTGTGTACCAACCGATTATCAAGTAAGTATGGGTGTCTTCGATATCACAAACGAATTTATAAAGCTGAGTGGTCTAGTGAAAATAAAGATATCAGCTGTCTAATAAAAGAATGCGCGAATGGGTCCCTTTAGAAAGATTTACCAATGTTGAAGGCTTTGGGACAATTTATAAAGCAACCTGTTTTGGAAATCATTACGTGACGTGATCCAAAGAAAATTACATCAGTTTATTAATGAGATAAAAATGAAGCGTAAGAAAAATGCTTTTTATTTTTAAGTTTCAAAATAGATTCAGACTGTTTTAAAGTGCAGTGATTCTGTGATTATCGTCAGCTGGTGAATACTATATACGTAAGTAGATATACATCAAACCACTAGATAGTTCGTGAGATAAAAGATAAATATATCAAGAATTTATCTAGTAGTTTCGATATTGATTGATCTCTAATTCACAGATTTTCCACATTAACTACGTACATGTACAATTGGCATGACTACACCTTTGCAAACTGCGATAATCTCAACCACGAAGCATTGACCTGATATCGCAAATTAGGATATTTACTTCGATTGTTAAATATTTGAGAATATTCACAGAGATTTGTTTTCGCCCTTTCATACCAATTTGGGACTTTCCGGCCCAGAAGATGTAAAAATTCTAATCAAGAAATTTACGGAGTACTTCCTTATATGAATCCAGAAGTCCTAAATGAAAAACCGTACAGTAAAGCTGCAAATATTTATAGTTTTGGGATGTTTATGTATGAGTTACAGCAGGTGAACGATCGTATATGTGCATGTCATGTGAAATATATTTTGTAAAATCTAACTCACCAAAACTTGCAAGCTTGCTTACTGATTATATCTTTTTCAATACTTATAATTAACTTATAATATAATAATATAGTCAATATATTATATAGTTATACTAATTTTTGAGTCTGCATGTTAAATAATCTTTAGTGGAATATAAGAGTGTATATGTCTGGCAATATAAAGATTTGCTTTTAAATTTCTACTTTTAAATATAATTTCTCTTGTTTTCTATTCTTTAATTTTTTCAAATTTGATCTAAAAAATAATATATATTCTAAATAATATTATATGTTCTAAACAAGATTACTATATAATTCAAATAAAAATAATAATTATTATTATTAGTTTAAAACTTTTATATTTAAAAGTAAAAAATATAATAAATATCAAACTAAAATAAAATTTATCTAATTTATATAAAGAAATTTATTCTTTATTCATATTATTTCTGGAATAAAAATTTGAATAAATATATTTGTTATCAATAAGTATTATTAATAATTGTAAATACTATTATTATAAAAATAAAAATAAAGTTTGTTATTACTATTATTGTTGTAAAATAATAATAATAACAGCAAATTTTTATATAAATATTATAAATTATAGATAATAATAACAAAAATAAAATTTGTTGTTATTATTATTATAAAAATAATAATAATAATAATAAAATTTGTTGTTATTTTTATAAAGATAATAATGATAATAATAAAATTTGTTACTTTATAAAGATAATAATAATAATAAATAATAACAGCAAAATTTGTTATTATTTTAAAATAATGATAATAATAACAAAATTTAATATTATTATTATTGTGAAAAGAATAATAATACAGTCAAATCTCTCTATATTCATTACTCTCAGAAAAGCAAAATTTGGTGATTATAAAGAGAATATGATTATAAAGAGATTTTTTACTATGTTTATATATAAATAGAAAAGCAAAATAGGATAATTATAGAGAGATATAACTATAAATGAATGTGACTATAGAGAGATTTAACTATAATAATAATAATAATAATAATAATAATAATAATAATAATAATAATAATAATAATAATAATAATAATAATA